TTGACATTCACTGACGTAGACGATTACTGAAGTTGAAAAACTCGGAAGACTGTGTCACCGGTTTTGCCAACGATTTTTTTTTTTTTTGTGTGCACGTATATACTTTATTTGTTGCTAATATTATGACTGGTCTGTGTTGTCTGTAAATATTTGGACTGTTATTCCCATCAAACAGTTCTTGAACGATATCATAACCAAAAAGAAAATGGTGGGAAAAAAAAGACTGCAATCTTTTTTTTTTGTGAAATTTTATATGTATCGGTATGATACGTGCAACACTGATAATTTTTCACATATTTTTTTGCAATGTAAAACAAAAAGAAAAAAAAAACTAAGATTCCCAATTTTTTTTTATCTTTCTATAAACCACATGCCCCATCGCTGTTGCTTCTTCCTACACACACTAATTTTTATCTTTTTTTATCTTTTGTTTTTTTATTCTTCATATTCTTTGATTCGTTGACAGGACAAAGCGAAAAAGTCCCTAAAAAAAGGAGGAACACATCAACTGAATATTGAAGTCACACAAAGCTAACATACTGTTGCTTTTTTTTTTTGCTTGGATACAGCAGAATACGGTTGTTGTCGGAAGAACTTATTGAAATCTACCAATTTTAATTGTTTATTTAAGCTCTTCAGAGGGCAACTTTTGTTGCAGCAGCAGCAGCTGCTGCTGCTGTTGTTTGACGTCTGCTTCTATTTCTGCCATTTTGCTGTTGAGCAGAAGGCACATCAATACAGTTTGATAGCAGACATTTGTTTAGATTGGCGCCATTGTCATCGTCGTCGTCGTTGTCGTTAATATTACAGAAATGCTTTTGAATAGTTGTTGCCAGCTGCAGTTTAATTTTTCTCAGCAATTTGAGGAGGTATATACCGCCAATGTTTTGGATGCTTAAAATGTAGGATTAAAAGAAAAATTACACTAAAAAGATTGAGAGGGAAGGAAAATTGTTGTTGTTTTTTTTCTTCATCTTTATATGATTGGTAATTTTTCGGTTGAAATAAATATTTGATGAGGAGCAAAAAAAAAAAGAAAAATTGAAAAAAAGGAAATGGGAGAAAAAGCAGAGAAGGTTCCGTTTAGAAAGACAAAAAATTAGTAAAAGGTTATTTGTTTTTTTAGTTGAATATTTTTTAGGTTATTTGACTTTTTGTTCTATTTATTCTCTTTTCTTTTTTTTTTTTTTTTTT